GTCATATATGACAACGAACGCATTTGATACCATATGACAACCCGCTTTCATTCAACTGACAACATTTGACGTCAAATATGACATAGTGAAAACCAAACATAATTTGATCGTTAGCAGACGGCATGTAGCGAACAAATCCCCAGTTGATTGAATTAACACTTTCATTAAGTCTTTCGTAGTTAATATTGTTAAAGTTACGGTAGGAGTAGTACGGTAGGAGACTGGTTGCTATCGTAACGTAAGTCAAATGTGAGAAAAATAAGATCATGTTTCGAGAAATTTGGAGCTATAAGTTGATCATACAAAAGTACACAAGACAACTCATTAACGAGAAAAATGTCCAGTAAGGTACTGCAAGTACATGTAAAGGAGTTAGGTGTTGTTTGATTTAAAAAACAGAGTCCCAGGTTTTTTATGTGAAGTGAAAATTTTTCATCTTTAAGTATATCACTATTAAAGTCACCAGTTATAATAATTTTGTTGTGGCCTATGGTAAGAATCTCGGGAAAATCAATAAACGCATTATGACAAATCTTCCTGTTGGGTCTCTAAACAAAGCCAATAAGTACCTTGTCAAATTTAGTAAAAATTTCTAAAAATAGGTACTCAATGGTGCTGGAAGGTGGCGATGCACAGTTAAATTTGCACGAGAGACCGTTTCTTACATAAATAGCCACACCTCCTCCATGACAAACTCTGTCCAAGCGGAAGAGCCTATACCCATTAACATGAAATAAGTGATCGTTATGACACGGAGAGAACCATGTCTCTGATACATACACCCCGTCCACATTCGAATTTTCAAACAGATACCTAAATTCATCAATTTTCCTTACTAAACTTTGGGCCCTTCTTACGTTTACTCAATATGCGAATCATGTTGAAAGTGCCGAACCACCATTAGGCGCCATGAGCATCAAAAAATAAAAAACAAACATAACACATTGCATCACAGAAGGGCATATCAGTATGAAAAGTAGATATGAGCTAAAAGAGTATGTACGATATCTGTGGAGGGAGAATGAGGTAGAAGGAAATGGGAAAAAGGAGAAGAGAACAAGTATAGGAAGAAGGAAAAAATTGCAAATATAACAAATAAATTTATAAACTAAAGTCATACATTCTAAAATCGCTCTTAATTTAAAAAGCTATCTATGTTCATACAAAAGTTTGATTACGACGTGCTGGATGCAGTTAACACACGGGCAACTTCAATGTTGGACACCTTCACTGCGTTGCATTTAGGTTTAACTCGAGTATACACACATTCACCCATAAAAAAAACCACAGATCCCAGTTATTGTTTTCTTTTGAGTTGCATTGCGAACTGCAGAACTTCACGGCTATTCTTGGTGAGGCTCTCGTGGGCCCAATGTCTCGCAGCGCAATAGATCTCTTACTCTGCTTGCAGAAACGTGTTACGGCGCTAAAAAGTCGACCTCGGTCGCTAGCAGAACCTAGCTTAACTATGACTGCCGTAGCTTTGCTGTTGTTGTCGAGAACCACTAGTCCGATTCTGCTGAAACAAATTTAAAAAAATTAAAAATTACAATTCCTTTAATCTGTTTATATAACGTTTTTCTATATAATCAACAGTTTTGCCGGAAAAAATAAATGTATGAAGAAAAAAAATATTTTTTGCCTAAAATATTAAATTTTTTTAAAACTGTTGATTATATAGAAAAACGTTATATGAACAGATTAAAGGAATTGTAATTTTTATTTTTTCTAAATTTGTTTGAGCAAAATCGGACTAGTGTGTTCTCGAGTTATGTCAAAAAAAGACCACCAAAGGTGACAATTTCCCCTATATGATAGTTATATATATATCTCGATTCCTAGACGTGACCCAGCGAAACGCCGGGACACGTATAACTTCTTTTTTACCGATATAACTTTCCCCGGTAGTTTGAACCCTCCCCGATCACTGACCCCTACCATTTGTCTCACAGTGTTATTGCCGCACTGTCCAAAACACGTCTACTAAGCGTGCTTTCACATTACTACTACTACTACACATTTTAGATGCAGAAGCTGACAAAGTGCCTCGTATGAGGGTATAGCGAAATTTCATGTGTGCCAAATCAGCAGCCCGAATTCCATTAACCTCAAAGTAACAGGAAACGAAATATAAGCGTAAAAGATCCCACTGTTCTATTATACGGTTTACTACTTGCTCGAGTGCAAGCCACCTTGTTAACGAAACTCCTAATATTTTATGGGGCTTAACAGAACTGTATTCTTGGAATTCTTTGAATTCAGATATCCTCTTTGGGCTGTGCGAAAAAAAAATATATATACTGCGACAAAGTTTTTCGATTCCTAATGGAAGTTTTTTACAAGCGTGCGACGAGCACAAATGTAGTGAGTGGCAACTGCATTTGAGTAGTCCACTTGCAAAGTGCGCTATGTAAAATTTTTTCGATTTTTAGTTTTTGGTGGATTACGTACCAGTATTTATAGAAGTTTTATGTCCACTAACAACACAGTGCAAAAGCTTTTTATATTCTGAAAAAATAGCATCAAATGTTAACTCTTCTTCCAAAAGTCGCTATCATATTTATTTATAAACTTTCAAAAGTATACATCTTCTGATGAACTTAGAAAACTGATTTAGGTCGTATAAACTGTTAATGTTATCTTGTGTCATGTTATGTTATGTTACAATTTTATAAGGCTCTTATTTATCCAAATTTTCAGGTACTAATACAAAAGATTCAACTTCAATGTTACTTGTTGTCGTAGTCGTTTTTTTTCAAATTTATGGCTTTCTATTATAAAATCACATAGCGCCGTTTGCAAGTGGACTACTCATTTCATATAAAATAAGTCGGAAGTTCTCTTAAATATTGCTTGCAAGCCGTTAATTTCTGCAGCCATAACACTTGCGCCATCGGTCGCAAGACCTATAAGGTTATCCATATATCTCGCAAATAAAACGAATGACTTTTTGCTAGAAACGTCAGTCGATTCGTCGACGATCAGTGAAAACTTTGTTGTTGTCAATTGAGCCAAAATTGTTTTTGCTGCTGTATTACTCAATAAATCTTCTAATTCAGTTGCTTTTGTTCTTCCAGATTTGATTTACTTTGCAATCTTTGAGTCACAGCAGCATTCTACTAATAGTTCCGGTAAATAATCCATAAGCACGAAGGGCAAATTGTGTCATATCAAGAACATCACCAATGTGAGTTCTGCATGGTGTACTTGTTTCATGAATTTTTTATTTTCTTGGTTCATACAAGAATCAATTTTAAGCTGATGTTTTTTCTTCTCAACATTTTGGACGTGTATGCGAAAAGTTGCGTGTTGTTTTAAAAAACTTACGTTTTTGCATATTGTCCTCTCACAGGCGATACAAAAGCCTGAACTATTATTATTTCGAAGCCATGTAAAGTATCATCAAATAAAAAAAATCACCATATAAACATCACTCATACGCCATGTTGAATCCAAGTGTTTTCCTAGTCAAT